CTAAAAACACTAAAGCTTGAAAAGGAGTACGAAGGAACACATACCTTTGACTCAACTCAAGAATAACTTGACTCATTACACATAATGCAATTTAAAAATATGTGCAATATAAAGAAAATTGTCAGAAACATTCTAAAATCACTAAATTTATGGAAGATACAATTAACTTTAACATGTAAATTAAAAAAAACAAGCTAAAATGATGTATATAAGAATATAATAACTTCTGTGGGAGTTTCTCTAACTAACAACTGTCACATAAGAGCTACAGTGATGATATATCGATCAACCTAGCTCCCAGCGCATCCTATACCCGGCCAAAGATATAAGACCTTAACTGCCTAATGGATCCACTAGTCTACTGTGAAAAGGGTTGATCTAAAAATTTTGAACCTTTTCTACCCATGGTTACTACATGGTTTTGGGGGCTGTGAGTAGTCTGAACTCTCCCCCGCGTCGGTGCTAAATAATGCTCCCAAAAATGTGCTGACGTTTATGTTGTAAAAACATGTCGAATTTGTGGTTATGAGATTAGTTCTAAAAATACTTAACTCAATTTTATCTTGGAAATCATAATATCCCTGCTTGCTTCTTTTTGAAATCTTTAGTTATTTTCGGAAAACTCTCACTAAGGCTCCTTGGAAATCAAAACTTCCTTACTAATTAAAAGTTAAAACATTTTAAGTATCTTTGGTAATACTTAGTCCCCATATACCTTTGAAGAAAAGAACTTCAACTTACTCTTTACTTAGCTTGAACTTGAGTCTTATATCAAAGTTAAAATGTTTAAATAAGATCCTTGAAAACCTTTAAAGACATTACTTTAACTTACTTCTTAGCTTTAAACTTGACTCCTTAACTTCCTTGACTTTGACCTTAACTTTTCTTGAATTGAATTATGGTTCAATATTATGATTTGAGTTATTTGATGATTTCTAGGTGTTTAGAAGTTTTCAACTCGTTTTTCATCTCCAAACCTTCCTAGTTCTTTCATCAAACACCTTGGACTATTGGTACTCTAAATAACCATTGAATTCAACTAAAAATAACCCATAGAAACAAGAACTCAACCAATTATGGCAGCCAACAATTCAACAACAAGAATGCAAAACGTTTCTTCAAGAACTGAACTTCTAACACGAGATCAACTCAAAGATTGCTTAACTGAAAAAAATTGGTGTGTGGGTGATTAAACTCCACACGAAATATAACACATACTTTAATAGTGATCACCCATGACGAATTCCACACGAAGATCTTAGTGTTCTTGATTAATCATTGGCCCTTTCTCCTTTCTCCTGCTTCTCTTCTCTTTTCTCCCAAGCCTTAAGGGGGTTCTAATTTTCTAAAACTGACTTAACGCTTAGTTTTACCCCTAATAAACCTTTAAAATGACTTGGGAAATAGTTTGGTGAAAAGACCCTTAAAATCCAGATTGGGACCTTTCTCAATCCAATAACCCAACTTTCGATAGGCATACCTCCGTTATATGATATCGAAAATGCACAAACTTGACTTTTTGGAAAGATCTATCTAACGGATTTCCAACCATATAAAGAACTAAATCTAACTCATACGCTAGAAGTTATGGTCATTTGAAAATGACAAAAAACTAACTTTTTAGACATAGGAAATTTTCCAGATTTTCCTATTTGTTTCCTTAAGTGATAATTTTTTGTTTCTTAGCTTATTCTTGGATATTATGAGTTACGAGATGTTACAATATCTCCCCCTTGGTAACATTCGTAAATGTGATTTCTTTCACTGCGCTAAAATAAGTAACATCAAGTTCAACACTTTACAATCCAAAAGCAAGTAATAACATGCTTACACATAGTCTTATAAAGTGATAAGAGGAGAATTTATTACCTTGATCAGCATTCTCTCTGGATTCAAAGAGATGTGGATATCTCTTCTTCAAATCCTTCTCATCTTCCTAAGTTGCTTCTTCAACAAAATTGATTCCTATGGAGGACTTTGGCTGATGCAACTTCCCTTGTTATCAACTTGCGAACTTGATAATCCAAAATTTGAATCGAAATCTCCTCATATGAAAAGCTATCCTTGATCCCAACATTCTCAGTTTGTATAATCAATGAAGGATCACACATTCACTTCTTCAACATAGAAACATGGAATACCAGATGATCAGTTGCTAACTCTTGTGATAGCCTCAACTCATACGCTACATTACAACTCTCTTGGATATTCTATAAGTTCCAATATATTAGGGACTAAGCTTCCCCTTCTTACCAAACCTCATCACACCCTTCATGGGTGAAACTTTTAGGTACACCCAGTCATCCACCTCAAACTCCAATGGCTTTCTCCTCACATCTCTATAGGACTTTTGATGACTCTACGACGTTTTGAACGTCTCTTGAATCACCTTCACTTTCTCCATGGCTTGGTGAAATAGGGTTGGTCCTATAAACCTTGCTTCACCAACCTCCAACCACCTAATAGGAGATCTGCATCTTCTCCCATAAAGAACTTCATATGGACCCGATTAGATTCTCGAATTGTAAATGTTGTTGTAAGCAAACTCAATAAGTGGTAGATGATCGTCCCAATTCCCCTTGAAATTGATCCGCAAGCCCTCAACATATCTTCTAAGTTCTTGATAGTATGCTCTACTTGTTCATCCTTCTGAGGATGAAAAGCAGTGCTCAAGTACAACTTCAAACCCATACATTTCTGGAAAGGCTTCCAAAACTGTGCAGTAAATTTTAAACCTCTATCTAAATGATTGAAATTGGAATTTCACGAAGTCTCACAACTTCTTGAATATACAGATTAGCATAATCCTCAGTCGAATAGGTAATCTTCTTGGGTAAGAAATGGGTTGACTTTATCATTCTATCGACAATCAAACAAATAGAATCATGCTGCCTGGGAGACATTTACAAGAATCTCATGAAATTCATATTAATCATGTTCCACTTCCATTCAAGAATTTCTACATTCTGATCTAAACCTCCTAGATTTTGGTGCTCCAGCTTCACTTGTTGGAAATTTGGCATTTGGAAACAAACTCGGCTTCATATCGCCCCACTAATATAGCTCTCTCAGATCAAGGTACATCTTTTTGAAACCCGGATGATGAAATATCTTGACCTATGAGCTTCCTCCATGATTCTCTCTTGGAGTCCATCCACCCTGGGTACACACAACCTACCTTGACACTTTAACACACCATGTGCCCAATGTTCAAAAGCCAATACTCTTTGCTTATGAACATTTGTCTTCAAGTCAAGCAAAATGGGGTCTTGGTCTTGCTTCTCTTTCACTTTTGACGCTAGTAATGACTCATCCCCATTGGTCACCACTATACCTCCTTCTACGGAATCCATAAGCCTGACTCCCAAACGTGCAAGTCTACGCACATCTTTGTCTAAATCTCTCTTTTCTTCTTCAACATGGGCGGTACTCCCTATGGATAAACTGCTTAATGAAACAGCAATCACATTACCCTTACCTGGGTGGTAGATAATACTCATGTCATAATCTTTGAGTAATTATAGGAACCTCCTTTGTCAAAGATTGACATCTTTCTGGGTAAACACCTATTGTAAGTTGTTGTCAGTGAATATATCCACATGAACGTCGTAAAATTAGTGACGCCATATATTCAAGGAAAATACAACATTAGCAACCTTTAAGTCATTGATTGAACAATTCTTCTCATTAACCTTCAACTGTCTTGACACATAAGTTATAACCTTGTCATTATGAATCAACACGCAAACCAAACCAAATCTTGATGCATCACATTACACCATAAAACCTTGAGTACCCTCCGGTAAGGTCAAAACCGGAGCAGTAGTCAACCTCTTTTTCAATTCCTAAATTCTTTTCTCACAAGCTTCGGACCATTGAAACTAAACTTTTTTTTTATTTAAATTGGTCAAGGAGACGAGAGAGATGAAAATCCCTCTACAAACCTTCTATCATAGCCATCCAAACCCAAGAAACTCCTAATATCAGGTGGAGACATGGGTCTAGTCCAACTCTAAACTGCTTCTATGTTTTTGGTATCCATCCTAATTCCATCACCTAAAATTATGTGCCCCAAGAATGCCACAGACTTAAGCCAAAACTCACACTTGGAGAAATTGGCATATACTTCCTTTTATTTTGAAGTTTGAAGTTACTATTCTGAGGTGACTAGCATGATCTTTTTCACTCCTTGAATAGATTAGTATGTTATCAATCAAGATGATAACAAAAAAGATCTAAATAAGTTTTGAAGACTATATTCATAAGATCCATGAATGTTGCTGGTGCATTGGTCAAACCAAAGGACATGACCAAAAACTCATAATGCCCATATATGGTTTGAAAAGTTGTCTTTAGAATATCACATTCCCTTACTTTCAACTTATGGTAGCCTGATGTGAGATCAATATTCGAGAAGAAAGAAGCCCCCTGAAGCTGGCCGAAAAGATAATGTATCATTGGGAGAGAATATTTATTCTTGATGATCACCTTATAAAACTGGCGATAGTCTATACACATTCTAAGGGACCCATCCTTCTTTCTTACAAACAAGACCGAAGCACCCCAAGGTAAGAAACTTTGTCAAATAAAATCTTTATCTAACAAATCTTTTAGCTAATCTTTCAACTCTTTTAACTCAGCTGGTGCCATTCTTTGTGGTGAAATAGAGATAGGATGAGTATCTCGAATGATATCTATGCCAAAGTCTATTTCCCTCTAAAGAGGGACTCTAGGAAGATCATACGGGAAGACGTGCAGAAACTCTTTCACTATTGAAACTGACTGAATAGGAGGTATCTTATCATGAGAGTCATTAACACAGACCAAGTGATAGACACAACCTTTAGAATCTAACTTCCTCACCTTAAGATACAAAATGAATCGACACATAGGCACTACTGAACTACTTTTTCATTATAAGATGGACTCATTTGGAAACTAAAACTTTACTACTCGAGTCCTTCAATCAACTGAGGTATAAAAAGAATGAATCCAGTCCATACAAAGAATGACATCGAAGTCTACCATGTTTAACTCAACTAAGTCAGCCATTGTACTCTTGTGACTAACAAAAACAAGACAATCACAATAGACTATTTCTGCTTGAATGGATTCACCAACGGGTGTGGAAACACTGAATGATTAACTGAGTTTCTTAGAGATAATATCAAAGTTCATGGTAATATATGGAGTTACAAAACATAAACTCACTCCTGGGTCTAGCAATGCATAAAAAGTAAAGTCAAAGACTTGAATCATACAAGTGACAACGTCTGGCGAATTCTCCTATTCTTGGCAATTGTTGAGAGCATACAGTTGTTTCTTTCTCTGCCAGCACCAAAAGTAGTACCCCTTGGTGCAACGTTGTTTGGTGAAGCAAGTGATGAAGACTGAGCTCTATCTCCCCCGTAACTACCTCCTTACTTGTTCTTTGGGCACTCCCTCATGAAATGCCCGGTCTGACCACATTTGAAGCCACCCTAGAAGCCCTCACGACAAAAACCGAAGTGATTCTACGACATTTGGTTCAGGCAGAGGCTTACTACCCCGTGAGCCACACTACCCTGTGACTATACATGTTTAGCTCGGGAGTTCTGACCATGATGCTCAACCTTGTCTCTGGGTGCAGGTGCACTAGCAGATGATGGTGCAAGCCCCTTTTGTCTTTGAAACTCTTGCCGGTCTGAGCCCCCTTTCTACTGCCTAGACTAGTCGGCAGTCTTGGCTTTCTTATTTTTGTTCCTTCTCGGTCCCTCAGATTTTCCTCTTCTACTTGTTGCACATAGATCATCAACCTCAAAATGTCCATGTCTCCAATAATCATTGCCTCTTTTCCCTTTTTGCTTGAAGAACGCCCCAAACCAGCGACGAACAAACTCATTCTTCTCCTTATATCTTTAACAATCTCTGGAGCATAGCAAGATAGTTGGGTGTATTTCAGCCCATATTCATTGACACTCTAGGTGTCTTGTTTCAAAGTAAGAAACTCTCGTACCTTTTCCTTCTTCAGTTCTCAGGGAAAGTAACTCTCCAATAAAGCCTCTTCGAAATAAGCCCAGCTCGGAGGTGTTGCATCCTCATTTCTTCCCTCCTTCATCTGGTCAAACCAAGTCCTAGACACATTCTTATGTTGATATGCAGCTAGCTCAAACCTTCAATATTGACCAGGTGCATTACCTCAAACAGCTTCTTCAGCTTTTCCAAACAAATCTCCAGATCCTCAGTAGTGCTTGAACTAGACAAGCTTGTGGGATTCATCCTCAATAATTCCTGAAATCCTCTAAGTGTCTGATCCTTATTTTCGAGATCCTCTTTGCTTTCCAACTTGGTTAGTCACCGCCTGGCTCAGCATTTTATTAGCCTCACGAAATTCACATTGGTAACTTCCACTTAAGGTTGCACTTTTGATGTATTAGGTATCTCGGACTCCTCTACTTTTCTTATGGTTTGCCGACCTCTGACTACTCTTAGTATAGGAATGGTTATCTGAAACACGCAAAAGAATGAATTAAAGAGGAAAGATTTTTAGAGATAAACTCTAACTCACGAAAAGGAACATGAAAGAAGTTAGAACTTCTTAAATGTTGTAGCCTCCTAATCAAAGATGTGGGAAGTTTCAAACCGATGACTACGACTCTACAAACACGGGTTCATAGACTCCCTAGAACTCTTTAATTGTGCTCTCCAATACCAAGTTTCTCAAGCCCCGAGCCTACACCCTAGACATGGGCGACACCCAATTACCATTGTCGGCCTTGGTCAAACCCTTGACTTGGCTTACTTAACTCAGCAGAAGACTTAACACATGGAATATAACTTAAGAATAACTTTTAAATGGTAATTATCCAAAATAGCAACATCAAGTTGTTACAATGAAATGAAAGACCAAAGAACTAACACTATCAATCTATCAAGCCTCTAAAAATAAAGATGGATGTTGGGACATGACCTCTAATCATCCTAATAAATGAAAACTAAATTAAATATTTAAATGATAAGGATGTCCTCCAAAATGAAGGGAGTCTCACCAATTGACTTTGAGCTTCTCACTGGATCAACAGTGTGTTGAATGCTGATCGTAGTTACCTGTGTCTGCATCATAATACGATAAAGGCCAACTGGAATCAGAACATTGAATGTACGAGTATGCGAGTTGGAATGCTAACAACACTTAAGCTTGAAAAGGAGTAAGAAGCAAAAATTACCTTAGCTCTGCTCAACTCATTAATAACTTGACTCATTCAATATAATGCAATTTTAAACCAAGAACAATATAAAGAAAACTGTTCCAAACATGGTGAAATTTCTTAATGTATGCAAGATACAATTAACTCTGACATAGATATAACAATACAAGTAAATTGATGTATATAAGAATATGATAACTTATGTAGGAGTTTCTCTAACCGACAACCATAACTGAAGTGCTACTGTGATGATACAACGATCTACCTCACGCTGCTAGCGCATCGTATACCCGGCCAAAGGTATAAGCTCTAAACTGACTAATAGATCCACTATTCTACTGTAAAAAGGGTTCATCTAAAAAGTATGAAACTTTTGTGCCCATAGTGGCTACATGGTTTATGAGGGTTGTGAGTTGCTTAGACTCTCACCCCATATCGGTGCTCAATACTGCTCCCAAAAATATGTTGGCTCTTATGTTTTATAAACATACTGAATTTGTGGTTTTGAGATTAGTTCTCAAAATACTTAGCTCAAGGTTATCTTTGAAATCGTAGTTTCCTTGCTTTCTTATTTTAGAAATATAATTCTTTTTTGAAAACTTTCCCTAAGGCTCCTTGGAAATCAAAACATCCTTACTAGTTAAATGTTAAAATATTTTAAGTCTTTTTGGGAATACTCAGTCCGCATATACCTCTGAATAGAGGAACCTCAACCTACTCTTTACTTATCTTGAACTTGAATCTTAAAATAATGTTAAAATGTTTAAATAAGATCCTTGAAAACCTTTAAGGAGTTTACTTTAACTTACTTCTTAGCTTTAGAATATACTCTTTAACTTCCTTGACTTTCGTTGAATTTAATTATGGATTAAACTTTATGATTTAATTTCTTTGATGATTTAGGTGTTAAGCAATCATTTGAAGTAATTAGAATCATTTGAAGTTGTTAATATACATTGGAAGGACTTAAAAAGGATTAAACTACGAAAACTAGACTAAAAATGTTGGGTTGGGTGTAGTGGTGGCGCGCTACACCAACCTCAATTAATTGAGGCCTTGTTCTAGCACACTGCTGGCGTGCGCGCCAGGCCTCTGTTGACTGAGGCCATATTCTGGCGCACTACAGGCGCGGCGCACCTGCACCTACGTAGATGCGTCTAACAAATTTTCTAACACTTTTTTCATCTCCAAACCCTCCAAGCCTTCCTAGTTCTTTTATCAAATACCCAGGACTACTGGTACTCTCAATAATCATTGAATTCAACTCCGAATAACTCGGAGAAACAAGAACTCGACCAACAATTGTAGACAATAATTCAATCAACAAGAATTCAAAACTTTTCTTCAAGAACATGACTTATATTATGAAATCAACTCATAGATTGTTGAATGTAAACCAATGTGGTGTGTTGCTGAATTAACCTAACACAAAAGATCCCATATACCATAAAAGGGATCACCACCAATGAATTTCACTCAAAGAACTTGGCTTTCTTGATCAATCCTTGGCCCTTCCTCCTTTCTCTTTCTTCTCTTCTGTTTTTATCCCAAGCCCTAAGCGTATTCTAAGTTTCTAAAATTGACTTAAGGCTTTGTTTTACCCCTATAAACTTTTAAAATTAATTATAAAATAGTTGGGTGAATATACCACTTTAACCTTACTAAAATCCGGGTTGTGACCTTCCTCAATCCAACAACCCAACTTTCCATAGGCATATTCCCTCATACGATATCAAAAATGCACAAACTTGACGGTGATGGAAAGATATCTCCAATGGCATTCCAACCATATAAACAACTGACTCTAACTCATCCTAATCTAGATGTTATAGCCATTTGAAAATGACCAAAAAATCACTTTTTACACTTAGGAGATTTTCTGAATTTCCTTTTTCTTTTCTAAAGTGAAAAATTTTTGTTTCTTAGCTTATTCTTGGGTCTTACGGGTTATGAGATGTTATAGAGTTTATGAATGAGTGTTTCACAAGTACTTAGATTCCTTTGTGATTGTATTCATGAATTATATGTTAGCGTATTCCAAGACTCAGAAGGATCATGTTCACCACTTCAGGATAGTGCTTCAGAAGTTCAAGAAGAAGAAGTTCTATACAAAATTTTCCAAGTGACAATTCCATATTGATTTAATGGCAATATTGGGAAACATAGTGCCTAAGGAGGGTATTTGAGTGGATCCAGCCAGATTGAGGCAGCTACAGGTTGGACAAGACCTACTTTTCCTATTAAGATGCATAATTTTGTGGGGTAGGGGAGATAGTACAGGAGGTTTGTGCAGGGTTTCTTAATTGAGATCACATTAATAAGATTGACTTTGAAGAGTTTGGGGTTCTAGTGTGAGGAGAGCTTTCCAGAGCTTAAAACTTTATTGACCTCATCTCTTATGTTGACTTTACCCAAGGAGGGTTGGGTTTTACTGTGTATTCCGATTCTTCAGGACATGATCTAGGTGGACTATTGATACAAAAGTTTTCAATAATTTCCTATGCTTCTAGATTGTTGAAGACTCATGAGAAGAACTATCCTAACCAAGACATGGAGTTGGCAACAGTGGTCTTAGTGCTTATGTTTTGGCGTCACTACTTATATGGTGTTCATTGCAAGGTCATCATCTATCATAGGAGCCTTCAGTATATGTTCATCGTAGAGATCTGAAATTGAGGAACCATTGGTGGCTTGAGTTTTCGAAGGACTATGACATGACTATGTTGTATTACCCATGGAAGGCCAATATTGTAGCAGATGCACTGAGTAGGAAGACTTGTTGCATGGGAGTTTTGTCTCGATATGACTGGATGAGAGACCATCATTTTGGGATGTTAAGAGATTAGCCAACACTCTTGTCCGGTTTCTGATTTCAAAAGATGGTAGTGTTATTGCCTTTGTTGAGACACGGTCTTCTTTGACTAAGCAGATTAGGGAGAGACATTTTGATGATGAGAAATGGTGTATTATTTGTAAAGGTTTTGAAGGGTGAAGTTAAGAAAGTGACACTTGATTCATAGGGAGTGGTGAGGTGTGGAGTTAGGATTTGTATGCCTAAGATGGTATCACATTGTTCGAGGTACTTTACTATCCAGCAGAGGCCAAGATTCATGATTTGAGTCTAACATTAATGGTTGTGCGGTATGTAGAGAGATATTGTGGAGTTTATGGATAAGTGCTTTACTTGCCAACATGTCAAGTGTGAGTATCAGCGGTCTGATAGTGTGACTTAGAGGATGTCCATTCCTACTTAAAAATGTGAGTGATAGTGTGACTTAGATGTCCGTTCCTACCTTAAAATGTGAGTGTATCACTATAGACTACGTAGTGGGTTTGCCAATCACTGTGGGAATAACATATCAAACAATGGCAAGTTACTACTGAAAAGCTAAACACAGCCCTGAAACTCAATTCCAAGTTTATTGGCCATTTTTATTTATAACAAAACTAATTCCTATCAATATAATGTGAAACCATTCAACAAACTAAGAAAATAGTAAATTTAAGAAATTTAAGGCCAATATATATAGGCGAAAAAAAAGATTTCACTGCAAATTATGTAATGCATTGTACTGCCAAAACTCTCGGATAATAACATTAGTAAGGTAACTCATGCCCTTGTCTACTCCACGAGTAGTTGTGACTCTAGAAAGCTTCTCCTCCTAGCAGAATAGAATACCAAAGAATCTGCAACAGTTCGATCTTTAAATTTGGAAATTTATAGAAGTTGAAACGAACACCACGACATTAAATATGTATATGAAAATGAAAAAGAAGTCACTTTGGAAGCAACAAAAAGGTTGAATAGCCTGCAGTAATTGTAGAAAATTAACTCTACTTATATCTATTTGTGTAGTTAATTATTGTAACAACATTATTATGAACAATATCGGCACAAAAACTAAAAAAAAAAACTCTCATCTTTATACTAAATCATTATTTGATAATAAGTTAATTAGACATATTATAAAATTTTAATTTAGTTCAATGGTGAAATGGTAATTCAATTTCATACTTTAGAGTTTTTCACTTTTAGTATAATATATTAATTCTCGAAACATGAGTGTTGCACGCACATGTCATACTAAACAGACAATAACATAAATATTTTAAAAGTTCAAGAATTTGAACTAATATTTTTAGTCAAAATATAAATACAAAATTTTATACAAAATATAATTAAAGAAGTCTCATAGGGAGAAAACACACAAAATATCACAAATATTCATTTCAATAATAATAATTATAAAAAAATCAAGGGGAAAGAGTAAAAATATCGAGCGCATTAAAATCCTCCATACATAGATTAAAAAGGATAGTATAAACATATATTTATCATGACCTATCAAAAGACACATTTTGTTCAATGTTAAAAGATGTATGATTTTAATATAATATAGTATAAAATATAAAAGATATATTAAGCTGAGTGTTTTAGATTTTATATACTATAGTAATATGACATTCAAGTTGTGGAGTTCGTATTTTTAAAATAATATAGATAGATATAATTAGATAGATAGATATAATCTAAAGAGACTTGACAGTTCTAATGAGGTTTCCCATTAACCCATAAATGACTTTAGTTAGTATTATTCAATGAAAAGCTCATCCCTTTTAATTTTGCATACGTTTATGGCCTACTGTTATTTACTAACTCTATGAATAAGATACTAAAGGAAATTACATGTATGACAAAGGTACCTAGACAACTTCTCAGCGAAGACTATGACCTTCCCAAATATATAGTTTATAGTCTAAGGGAGGCTACTAGTTCTTTAGCATAAATTTTCTTCTTTTTTTTTTTTTATATTTGCGAAAGAAAAAAGACAAATATTTGTTATAATTGAATTATCAAGATTGTCAATAGGATTATTGTGGCCGAGAATTTTCTTTATACCCATTTATTAATGTAGTGACTTTACTTTAAGACTACCCGAAAACTCGTTCTCTAAGAATGATTTTTTTTTCTACAAGCTTACTTTTCTTCATGCAAAAAAAGTACACTTAATTTATCTCTGATACATATAAGTAATGTTTTCCAAGGAAAAAAAAAGAATAAACAAACGGTTTACCTCATTTGTCAACCTTTGACTTTCTGCTTTCAAATTTTCTAAATTTCTTGCTCTTTCACAATCACATTGTGCGCATATAATTTTCTTCATTGCCTCTTTCATTGCTATATTCTCAGAACGAATTCTTTCATTTTCTATCCGGAGAGTCTTGTTGCTTGATTTCTCAATTTGTGTCTGATGAAATACATATGACAAATATTTATCTCATTCTTTCACACACACACATTTTATATATGAACTAATTTAATGTAGAAAGAGAGTGAAATTAATAGTTGCTAGGATAATAGCATTTTTTTACCCTAAAGTATAAGCCTGTTTCGACTTTCCTCCTTTTGAAATTTGACGAATAACTTTTACATTTAACTAATCAAAAAATGCATTTGTAATCTTTTTTATGTAAGATATGTATATCATATGAAGCACTTCCAAAATTATTTACCATTAAATATGAAACAGAATGACACATGTAATTAGGTGATAGCGATCAATAATTACTAAATTTGTGAGCAGTCACAAGAAAAGGATTCAAAATGTACATTCAAATTAAGTAAAGATCTATGTGCTTAGTTAGACATTGCAAGTATTATAATTAGAAATTGATAATAATTGAAGGACCAAATTTTTTACTAAGACTTTGTTATGAAATGTGTGAAAACTATTTTCTTCCTCCATCTTTGCTTAAAACATCACATTTCCACCAATATTTTGAACAACGTACATTTTCTTCCTCTTATGAAATATATATTTTATAGGATCGACTTCTACATGGGTAAAAAAATAATTCATGTTTAAGACTAAGTATTTTCACGGGGATCAATTTTGACGCAACTAAAGGTAGCATGTTAAAAAATGTTGGCTTATATAGACTAAGTATAAAACTCAAATTATTCATAGAGGTCTTGTTAAAATATTTTTTTAAGAAAATGTTTGAGATCTAGAGTGTGTTTGGTATGAAGGAAAACATTTTCTGGAAAATATTTTCCAATTTTCTCATGATTGGTTGGAACAAAAGTTTTGAAAAATATTTTCCAAATCAACTCATTTTCCTCTAAATTAACGAAAATGACTTCCTTTCAAAAATTAAGGATAACATTTTCCATAACTCTCCTCCAATTTAAAATTACTTTTTTTTTTGGGAAAAACATCAATTTAAATAAATACTTTTAATTTCAAAATTTTATTTTTTCACCTAATCCTTGACCCTAGCCCCACCGGCCAGCCCCCCCAACCCGAACCCCTCCCCAAAAAATTAATTTTGCTTTTTAAAAATATCTTCAACTTTAAATTTTTATTTTTAAACTTCTACCCCTCCCGGACAGCCCCCTACCAGCCCCCACCCACCCCAATCCCCAAAAAAATTAATTTTGTTTTTTTAAAAAATACTATCAACTTCAAATTTTTATTTTTTCGCTCCACCCACCCCCACCCAAAAAAATAATAATTTTGATTTTGAAAAATATTTTCAATGTCATAAATTATTTTTTACTCTAGTAAAAATAAAAGATGTCTCTCAAAAACATTTTTCATTCATAATCAAACACTAAAAATCATTTCCATAAAATATTTTCTACTCACCAACCAAACATGAAAAAATAAGTCCAAAATCTACTTGTTTTCCAGGAAAACATTTTCTAGGAAAACATTTTCCACCATACCAAACACACCCCTAAACATAGTCAAAGTTAAAGAAAAGCCACTTTGCTTGGTAATGAAGCAAATAACAAGAACAAACTAATCGAATTAAATTTTTTAGAGATGGGAAATTGGGTTGTGATCAATTTTAGCTCAAAGTCATGAGTCCCAAAAAACTGATCTTCTCATTTATTTATTTCAAATCATTTTGACTAGCCTACACTTTGTTTAGTCACCACCTACGCTCCAAGATTCTTTCATTCATGAAATAATTCAAAAAGGAAAATCATTAGTTCTTAGTTACAAAATAAGATTTTGTTTAACTTTGAATTCTCAAAATCAAATAGAAACATAATTTTTTGTCCATTTATTAAGTCCTTGATAAATTGTGGATCTCCTTAGAGATTTCATGTCTTTCAAATAATTTTTACATGATTTTAACATTGGTTCTAATGAGTTGCACCTCAATCAAATTGGAGGCCGAATGAAAATACTTAAACTTCTTTGATAAAATTCATTTATTTACAATGCAAAGGACTTTCGTCAAAATCTTTTGATCAATTCAAAAAGACAAATACATACCTGATTTAAAAATTACAAAGTGAGATTGTCAATAATAGAATTGATAGTACATAGATAGAATTTTTTTTTTAAAAGAACAAGGAAATAAGTGTGTCAATTAAAAGAAAAAGACAATTTTTGTATCAAATCACACATTCAGCAAACTAGCAAATGTAGATAAGAAATTTGGGGATGCAAGTTAAGAGCTTCACTAACATGGAGGTAATCCTACTTTTAACTAGTTATTTGTTTTTTAGATTCTTGCATAATCTAACAAAAATACAAATTATTATTGGACATATTGTTAAAATTAAAAAATAACAACAACAACAACCACAACAACAATAATAATAATACATTAATTAAATAGAATTAAATTAATAGAAAAGGGACTAATTAATTAAAATACCTTTGTTGTAATCTTATTGTTACAAATCCAAGTCTTGATCTTCTTAGGGTTAAGCCCTACTTCATTACCAATTTCAATTAGCTGGTCCGTATCTGGATGTGGACATTTCTTCAAAAATCTTCATCTCAAAATTCAACCAAAAAACACCATTAATAACCATTTTATAAAGAACTATAAAGCCTAAAAATGAAATAACAAAAGACCTCATGTTCGTGTCCTGCTTTTTTCAATAAAAATTTGATTAGTGAAACTTTTTTATGGGAATTGAAATTTTTTGAGCCCAAAAAAGGTAACAAACACCAACCATGGGTTCTGTTTTATTGCAAAAAGGATAAACATTATAATTAAAGAAACTCATAGCCTTATACTAAAGTTATTAATGAAGAACAAATTGATTCATTTATCTGATGCATATATATGGGGTAGATGAACTAGACAAAAAACCTATTTTGAACCATTTTAGCAACTCAATTAGAAACATTGATTAGCAAAATAAAACGTATTAGATTTTTGGACAAATATGGATTTATTAAATAACAATGGAAAAAAAACAATAAATTAAATAAGAATTAAACATAAATAAATTCACAAAAAAACACACATAAAAAGATAAATTATTATATGGATAATAATTTTTTGTTGTATCTGTTAAAAAAATAACATAAATCGTTTTAAACGAGCAAATCAAAAATTAAACATATATTAAGGTTCAATTTCCTTTTTTATCTGTAAATAAAATTGATCTTACTCTTTAAGCAGTTGAACTTGTTCCACAGTGTGTCAAACGCACTTGCTTTGCTTTTTTGCAGAGGTTGATGAATCCCCAACGTGTTTCCCTCGTGAATTTGTCATTTTATTTGGTAAATTCCTTTTGGATGAAATAAAATGACAAAAGAACACAAAAAATCAATTAATAACATGTTTGATATGTTGTTTACCTAATCATTTTACATAAGAAACAACCAAAATAAATCATAGAGAAAGGAAATATATAGGAGAGATTTTTACCCACCTTTTGATTGTTGAACAGAGATAGAGAGATATCTTATAACTTGATAGAAAGTTGTCTATTTATATAATAGAAAATAAGTTCGACTTGATATGAATTACGATCTTTTTTTTTCTTTTTCAAAAATAATAATAATTTGAACTTGGAATATATGGCTTCCTTTTAATTTTTTGTCGATACAAGGTGCATTTATATGTCAAATTTCATAAATGGAAAATTAACTATGACTTTTTTCTTTAAAAGTCACACAATTATGGTTTTTTAGTAGAGAAATCTTTATCTTTTTTAATCCTATTATGATGTCCTAACATGGAAATAATTTTATTAATTATTCTAAGTGATTCTTTCAATTAACTTATTTCTTTAATTAGTGAGTCTACCATTAAAACTATGACAAGAAGCTCCATGTCATGTTTAATAATCTGTTTGATCAATCTTTTAAGACTAACTTATTTTGAAATATAACTTTTTTTCAAAAGTGTTTTACAAAACTATACTTGGTGAGAATCTGTTTATGTTTGACTAATAAAATTAAAAAAATTATATTTGAGAAGAATTAGTATTTGACCAAACTTTTTAAAAGTGTTTTTAATTTAACTGTTCACCATCACTAGCAAAAGGGGATATGTATACTCGCAGTTGAATAGGGTTACCATTCGGAACAAGTATTCATTGCATCGGATAGATGACATTTTTTACCAATGGCAAGGTGCATCTATATTCTCTTCGATTGATTTAATGTTTGCTTACAATCATTTAAAGAATGAGGCGGTTAAGAATTGGGTTCGACCAAGTTTTGTTATTGAAATTAGCAATTTTATGGAGCTCGCTAGCTACTAATGTCGCTTGTGGTATGAGTTGAGTCCAATTGGTATCTACCGATTCCAATTGGTATCTAAACAAAGTGGACTAGATGGAACACAAGCAAGTTAATTCAAACTTAGAAGTTTCCAATTGACATTTGGACTTACGAACTGTTTAAGGCATGGCTAATGGTCGTTTATGGAATGAGCTAAGTAAAGAAATTGGACTCTATGTGAGTTGTAACTGGAAAGGTGAAGGCGTTCTTTTAGTTGTCTAAATTAACTGTGAATGTGAAGTTCTAATTGCTTGAATGTGATGAAGTGATTATGTGCACAAAAATTTATGCATGAACTTTGATATGTACAATATGTTGGCCTCTTCGTTGAAGTTATGCAAGTTGTAAATACTTGAGTATAGATGATATTAACTAAGGATCTTTCGAGTAGTGTATCCCGGGGATGTGTGGGTTCTGGTGCTGAATTAGTAAGTATGATTTTGTTCATGTATCGCGTATCATGGATTGGTTATTGATTTGAAATTGTATGGTAATAATGGGGAGCTTTGGGAAAACTTTAGAAAAGAGAAGAACCCCTAAACAACCTTGGTCGGGTTCTGTTTCTACATTAACTGCTAGGTCGGAGTTATTTCTGCTAGGGCGGGACCGCCAGAGTGGGATGAGGTGAGGCAGAACCTTAGCTTGCGTCCCGTAATTTCTAAACTATCCGATAAGACCTTAAATTGGATCCAAACTAACCCCTGCGACCTAATTTACTGCTCAGCAATCAAATATAAGTTATTAAATGTCTTAAAATTGTGGAAAACCTTGAAAATGAGGTTCGGATGTATTTATCACAAGTATTATAATTGTTGTAGTCGAATGATTAGTGTGTTGTTTTATATGGATTCTATTTATTTGTACATTTCAGTTCAATTGACTTGGGATTTGATGTGGTTTGTGATAAACTTGATTCCCCCATCCATCTTTCTACTCAAGTTGAAGAGTCAGTCGTAGTTACCCATGTGTATCGTGTTTGTCTGTTGTGTTTATAGATTTTCAGATTTGGGTTGATTTGATTATGCTGGGTATGATTGATTTGATATAACCTCAGGCATGACGTGGTTATCTCGCTATTATACTGGCTTAATTATAATTCTAAAGGCCCGTTTGGATGAGCTTAATAAAAGCAGCTTTAAAAAAGTACTTTTAAAAGTGCTGAAACTTATTTTTAAAATAAGCTGTTATGCGTTTGGATAAAAGTGCTGAAGTTGTTATGTCAAACGTGAAAAGGAAAAAATGGAAGAAAGAAATGCTAGGGTTATATGGGTAATTTGGAGATTGTATAAAAATATTAAGAGCAAAAAGATAAAAATGTGGTCAACTTAAAACAGCTTATAAGCTAAAAAAAAAAGCACTCCTATCCCAGCTTTTAACTTTTGGCTTAAAATAAGTTTTTTTTAATTTAAAATAAGTTATTTTCAGTATTGCCAAACAGCTAAATAAGTCAAAAATCAGTTTTTAAGTCAGTTTGACCAACTTTTATGCTGAGCCAAAAAGGCTCTAAGTCGATAACTCTAGAGATCCCGGTATGGAATTATTAGAGTGGGAAGGGGTGTACAATCCTAAGAGAGCTAAGCTCATATTCTTCATTCGGGCTAGGAATCTGAAAGGGCATGATTTTTGGTGTAATTGGCTCATGTTCGGGATGTTGAGGTCGAATCCTTCCTTTATGGAGAATTTTTCTGTAGTGTCAGAATTGAGAGTGCTTAAAGCTCAAATCCAAGGTCTTCTTGATAAAGATTTCATCCCTCCTAGTATTTCTTTGTAGGGTGATCTTGTCTTTTTTTTTAAAAATAAGGGATAATGCACAAGTATCCCCTCAACCTGTGCCCGAAATTCCAGAGACACACTTATACTATACTAAGGTCCTATTACCCCCCCTGAACTTGTTTTATAAGTAATTTTCTACCCCTTTTTAGCCTACGCTGCACTAGTTTGAAAAAAAAGTCAACCTTCGTTGGGCCCACAAGATAGTGCCACGTAGGTGGAAAAGGGGTGAAAAATTATTAATAAAATAAGTTCAGGGGGTAATAGGACCTTAGTATAGTATAAGTGTGTCTCTGAGATTTCGGGCATAGGTTGAGGGGGTACTTGGGCATTATCCCTAAAAATAAGGAGGGTAGTATAAGGGCTGGTGATTTTATATTAAGCCATAAAAGATGGAAGTGATACCGGAATGACAAGCTAATGAATAAAGAAAGTCACATTGAGTATACTTGGGTGAAGGTAATTGTAGTATTATACTAAGAAAGCGCGTATAAAAATTGGCCTTGGCCCTTTGAATTTGATGGGTATACTTGATCATCAAGGTTGACTTTTTAGTGATAGTCAAGGTTGACTAAGCATAATAGTTGTAAGAAAGTGTTATGGATTGTTGTGAAATGCAACTATATAATAAGAATGTTACTACGCGAATTTGGTGTGGTAATTATGACTTGCGAGTATCTAAGAATGTGGTTTTCTAATATTAATCAAGTAACGGGGTTGTATGGAAAGTTTTTAAGAGATGGGGGGACACCATTCGAATAGAAATTAAAGAGCTAGAGTCATAATGAAGAAAAATTGTGGGATGTAGTAGATCCTTTAGAGAGAGGCGTGAGCAAGAATCCTTTTATTTTATTGCTTAGGCTTAACATATATCTTTATAGGTGTAGATAATTAGGTTCATGGACGCATGTTTCATTCATTTTGTTCTGACTAGGTAATTGTGTCTCAAGTCCGTCATATTGGTTATTAAAACTATTAGAAAGGAATTACACCTGAGTTGGTTGGTAAAGTTTTATTGTTGATTGTTGAAGTACCACCTAAAGTTTTTCAATTAAAATGTGTTGGTCTAAAGTAAGGTCAATCGTAGGAGAGATTATGACAGTTCTTAGTATTAAGAGTGTTGGCTTCAGTCGAAGGATGTGAAAAGTATGTTGATCCAAGTTAATGGAAATTGTTGGTATCGACTCATTAAAGGAAAACCTTTAGTGTTATTCGATAAATTCTTACGTGACGATATATTTCATTTTGTACATCATTGTGAGTGTGATGAACTACCTATGATGACGTGTTTTTTATTTTATAGGTGATCCTCTAGTGATAGATGAGGTTTACCAATCATGCGACAATCTCTTGATTCATTTGGGATGTTGGGAAGAGTGATTATTTTGAATGACATAATTGGTGCTTTCTTGGACTTTCGAAAGTATTTTAGTGGTCCTACATGTACCACCTCGCTTATGAGAAATTTATATAAGAGCTACCATATGTACTTTTTGTTGTCCAACAATCTAATATTTCATGTTGTCATCGAAGTCATGTATCAATTATGTTTGATTGAATGTGGAGACAATTAGGTCAAATTTTATTGTTCTTAAGAGGAAATCTGCAATTACTAAATCTAGAATTTTGATAGTTTTGCTGGAGGGGTTGTATTCTTGGACATATTCCTCGATGATTATCTCATTTCTAAAGATCAAAATTGTTATAAATTAAGCACATGGGAATTTATGTTGTAAGATGGAGTTTTTAAGAACATTAATGTTTGGTTATTCTGAATGTGTGTTGGTTTGTTCCGGTTCACTTCTAATTCTAGAAAGTATTGATTTAGAATTTTATCATTGTTAAGTTATGTCAAAGTCCTTTATACGTGTTGCAGAAATAGGTGCGATCAACTTTGGGGGTTATTAAGAATCTTTTTTTGTTGTTAGTTAAGTTTACATACAACAATAATTATCACTCGAGTGTTGAGATGACTTCATGGAGGCATTGTAAGGGAGGATGTGAAGGTATTCAATTGTTTTTTTTGGGGTTAGTGATGTGAAACCCTTTGGGGAGAATATGATTCGATAAGAAGCGCATGTAAGACAAGTATCCCTAGTAATTTGATGATTCACTTAATACTCTACCCTTACTTTAGCTGGTCTTCTCCTATTTGATCACTCAGGGACGAGTGATGGCTAAATTAGTATCTACTCTAACAATCTGATTCAGTCGTTCGGGAAAAGACAATGAATAATAAATTGAGGATGGAAAACATTTTTGTAGTAACTTGGAATTTCACAACCTAGTTCAGATATGGACAAATCCAGAGTCATTTCGGTGTAGGAAATATAGTGATGAATTAGAGATATAAGTGTGAATTTGATGAGATGAGTAGATACATAAGACGATAATGAACTCATAGGACTTCAAAGAATTGATTTGGGCGAGTAGAACTCCTGAAAATGATCTCAGCATGAACGCAGGATTTTAGGTGCCAAACCAGGG